GGAGTAGCGAGGAAGGCTGAAGAATATATTTGGTCACTGTGGTCGAGTTTAGATAAGATTAGAATCGACATGGGAAATGAAAAAGGATGGAATAGGTAGGTATGTCAGAGGTAAGAATTTCAGAAGGGTGGACACAGGCGACTGTAAAGGTACAACAGGACCCCGAGTGGTGTTGAGCAGTTCAGTAGTTGAGTCGTGAAAGTCTTCCTTGGAGACGGAGTTCAGTTACTGTCATAGTGTATGATAGGTCCTCCTTTCCCTTGTGATAACAGATTTCGTTCTCTCCTGAGAAAACGGAAATGGCAAGAATATGTAAGGTGAGCTTCTCTAGTTAGGGTAAGTGGGGGTTGGTTGTAGGATGCATTATGATCAGCAGCACCACAGACCGTGCATTCTGCCGGTGATCTACAATATTTGGCAGGTGGCCAAAATATCAGTAATGTTGAGATGTAAGAAGCACTAGTCTGCTACATAAACCAAGGCTGGGAGTTCTCGGCAGTAGGGCAGAGTGAACATGAGTGTCCACTTCGATAATCGGGAGATTCTGTAGCTGAAGTTGTTCATGACTGTCTGGGCCACATTGCATAAATTCTTAGTTGAACTATAGTGTGTGGGATGATGACAGCGCCTCAGCCAGAATTCAGGAATGAATGTTTGAATATTATGATGGGTGTTGTTGACACAGCTGATATGGGGAAGTGTCAGCTTACTCAACTTCCTGTACAGTGACAATACTCATCCCACTCTTGAGAGCATAAGAGGACACATTTTGGGCAACATGCCTCATGAGGGCTTTGCTAATGCTGTGATAAGTAAGGTAATCAAAAGGAGTCATCAGTTGAAAAGAATTTTGTCCAAGATTATCCTTGGAATATAGGCAGTGTTTTTTTTAGGATAGGAATTAGGAATATCAGTGTCAGGATAGTCAAGTATGAGTCAAAGTCGTTTTGATGATGGTTTAGAGCCACTGTCCTGTGATGTGTGAACTATCTGAAAACTGATGCACTGTAGTAGAAGCCAGGAGCATGGTTAAAGCAAAGTGGTTAGAGGAATCAAAAAGGTCAGCGTTGAATGCCGATACACGAGTCAATGAGGCACCACCCGAAAGCAATACCAGGGTGGAAGGAAGGTCCATGGACGTGTTGGGGTAAAGCAACTGAACTGCAACAAGGGGCCTGAGAAGTGAAGCATGAATGTGATTATCCAGGACTGTTTATCTGTCCTCTTTCTAAAAACATAATGCACGTAAAATAAAGAAGGGGATAGAGGCAGTTCCGAGAAACAAAAATGAAACAGTATATCCCCTCCACATCCAAGTACCTTCGATGCACCCAGTAATGCTGATGCAACATGGAAACCACCACCTAGAGCAGATGGCATCTCTTGAATCAGCCGAGTCCAGCTCAGCCAGCAGTTGGAATTGCCGAGTCATTCTTCCTTGAATGCCATCTCCCAGAACTGACGAGCAGCCTCCAGGAATGCTTCTGATACCCAAAGGCAGAAGAGGCTGGCCTCGTGCCCTGCACATCCCTAGATAATCCAATTCCTGTGGAAAACAGCGCCACTGCTGAGGTCTCCAATGGAATAGAGTGAATGATCCCCTTTCCCATGTCCAAGAGCTGAAGCTCAGAAAGGAGGGGAGGGGAAGGGGGTATTTAGATTTGATCCAAGGAAGGAGAGGGGTCCAATTCCTTGGATCAAGAGGCAATCTGCTCTGCGATTTACAAACGAAAATCATGGTCAAAATATAGTAAAGAAAAAGTTGGAGGTATTGAAGGGGTTAGGGTTAGGCAATAAGGGGTTGCCTGAAAGCAATGCCAGGTTCTTAGAGACGTGTGGATGTGCCAGAGCTTGAGAAGGATGCAACATTTATTGGGTTCCAGGAGACTGAGAAGACTATTATTATTCATGCTGCGTTATTTTCTTTTTTGCTTAAAAGTGTAGGAGAGATGACTCTTTGGAGAAACAAAATGACACCACATACCTACCCTGAACCACAATCACCCTCAGCTTGGCAGGCAGTCCTGATGTTTCCTGGAAACTGACTCCAAGCTTACCTGGTGTTCTGAGGGTCAATGCCCTTATGTAGTCACTATACTTCTGGAGGTCACTACCCTGCAGCCCAGTCTCAGACCTGGCCTCTTGGTGGATGACCTGATCAACCAGGCTGCTGGTGCTAGCAGCACAAAGTTTAGCATAAGCACCACAGCCTGACTGATCAGATATCAACTTTAGAAACTTGTCTAGTTGCTCGAAGACAGCTAGGGGTCTGTTTGTACTCCCCCTTATTTATGAAGGGAAGATATGGGTAAGTCTCAGTCCCTTAGTGTACTCATTGCACACTGGTTTTCAGTGGGGGTATTATGCACCCTCTGCCAACTTTCATGGGAAATTATTATTATTATAATCAAAAAGAAGCGCTAAGCCACAAGGACTATACAGCTTTCATGGGAAATGATTTGTGTGTACAGATTTGGGACCAATCCTTGTACAACTTTTCAGGTGTAGATTACAATCTCTCTCTCTCTCTTGCTTACTTTCCAAGGAGCATATTATTATTATTATTATTATAATCAAAAAAGAAGCGCTAAGCCACAAGGACTATACAGCTCCAAGGAGCATAGATCGAGGGATTTCAGACATTCCCAGTAATTTAGGTCCTTGGCTGAATCTATGCAGGCAGTGAAGGCTCTCTGCACACTCCAGGTCTGCAATTTTGCTTCTCCTTGAACTGAGAACAGTGACTTACGAGTATCATCATTGGCTTAACGCCCCTTGTTTTGAAGATTCTAGCTATCTAGCCTATCATTTTCCTTGCAGTTGTGATACTGAAACTGTTGTGGTTCACGAAGGCAAGATCCTCTGACAAGATCCATCTAAGGTCTCCCACGTTAGTGAGATGGAGTAAATTTTTTATACTCCATTCCTGACTATTTCCTTAATCTTTCCATAAGAGTACAGTAAACATCTGATATAATCCTTACCTGCTTTCAATACATCTTCACTAACACATCCTGTTTGTCCTTATTTCAATTTATGGGTTTTATAACGGGCTTCAGCCATGGTATTGTAATTTATTCCAGAACAATTAAATGTCAAGTGCAATAAATATTGAAGTGTTATTGCAAAAGCATAGGAAAACACTTTTACCAGCTTAATAATGACTTATTAGTAATATAAATTTGTTAATGTTTTATTTGTACTGATTATCAAATGGTATAACCACAAAACTGAACATATGCTGCACAAAACAAATGAATATAAGAAATATACTTGCATGAATGAAATAAAGTTATCTGGGTTGGCTTTCTTTACAGAAGAGTACTTTGACCGTAGGTTATCCTAGAAACCCCACATCACCGGCTGAACCTTCTTAAAACCCTTGCTCATCTTTCATGGGGAGCTGATCGTCGAACTCTCCTTCGCCTACATTCAGCCCTTATTTTATCAAAACTCGATTATGGTGACCAGATCTATTCAGCAGCCTCTCCTGCTACTCTCTAGCCTTAACCTCATCCATCACCAAGGATTACGTTTATGCCTTGGTGCTTTTCGCTCTTCCCCTGTTGAGAGCCTCTATGCAGAAGCGAATGTTCCATCCTTGTCTGATCGCCGTGACGCCCACTGCCTTCACTACTATGTGCGCTCTCACGATCTCCGCAATCCTTCCATTTATAGAATGGTCACTGATATTAGACATTCTTAATTTGTTCGCCACTCCTGTTTGCTCCGTCCCCTCTCTCTTCGCCTACATTCGCTCGTCTTCCCTCAGTTACTGCCTTTATATGTTCATGTAGCATCTCACTTTCCCCTACCCCCCTGGGAAGTTCCAGCTGTTCGTTCTCACTCCCTGCTCGAAAGCCCAACTGCCTATGGTGGCTTCCCGCTCTCTTTTTCTTGACCACTTCCACTCTCATTCTCATGCCATTGCCGTGTACACAGATGGCTCTAAATCTTCCGACTGCGTCAGATTCGCAGCAGTGTTTCCGGACAGCGTCGTGCGAGGGCATTTACTATATTTGGCTAGCATTTTTACTGCTGAATTATATGTCATTCTTGCAGTACTTATTCGTATCGCATCTATGCCTGTGTCATCATTTGTGGTTGTCTCAGACTCCCTTAGTGCTCTACAGGCTATACGGAAATTTGATACACCTCACCCTCTAGTTCTCCGTATCCAACTTTGGCTACGCCGTATCTCTACCAAGCATAAAGATATTGTTTTTTGTTGGGTCCCTGGTCATGTTGACGTACAGGGCAATGAACAGGCAGACACTGCTGCGCGGTCAGCAGTTCATGACCTACCAATTTCATATAGAGGTGTTCCATTTCCGGACTATTTTGCTGTATAGCTACCCACCTTCACACCCATTGGCAACAACGTTGGTCTGCTCTGCTCAACAACAGACTTTGTTCTATTAAACCGAGTATAGGTTACTGGCCGTCTTCTTGACACCAGTGTCGAGTTTGGGAGACTACTCTCTCCCGCCTTCGCATTGGCCATACTAGTCTTGCTCATGGATATCTCATGGAGAGGTGCCCTGCTCCTCTCTGTGAGAATTGTCAGGTTCCATTATCGATCAGCCACATTCTGTTAGACTGCCCACTTTATCAACGAGCACGCAGAGTTTACCTCCAACGTCGTCTTCGCTCCGCTGCTCTCTCTTTACCTTCCCTTCTCGCTGATGGACCCACCTTTCATCCAGACTCTCTCACTGACTTTTTGACAACAACTGACTTACTCCACAAACTCTGATGATACCTTCAGCCCATTCTACCTCAATCTCTTGCTACCCTCTGCTCCGCTGTTTTCTGTAACCTACTAATCATCCCTCCCACCTTCTGCCACCCGATACCCTCGCTTCCTTCCCTACCCTGCAGCGCTGTATAGCCATTGTGGCTTAGCACTTCTTTTTGATTATAACAATAATAATACAGAAGAGTAAAGGTTATATACAATGATCGTGAAAAGCAAATCCTCGAGGTAATAAAAAATCATCTCATTTGTCATATATTTATTATAAAATAATCAAATCCTCTGTTCAACACTTCCTCATTGGTCAACATTAAACATAACAAAGTGGGGGACCAGACAATTAAAAAATTTCTTATGCCCATTAAAATACAATTATACAGGACAAGAACGGGGACTTCCAATGAGCAGGTGTTGTTAGACAATACAATCAACAATTTACATACATACATCACGTTGAGCGTTGGAAAATGTGAAAACAAACTTACCAAATCTTTAAAGAGAAATAAATTAAAGAATTGTATAGAGGACAGGTGGGTGAGGCGTTGTGACGGGAGGAAAACTGGCTGCAACTTCCCCCACCCACACACCTTCCATCTCACTTTGCTACCCATTTCAATATCCTTCCTTTGAGAGGTTGATGGGCATGAAATGGACCAGCAGTGGACACTGTACTAGTTTGTTAGGGATGATGGTGGCAGCAGCAGCAGCTATACCTCGAGTCCGCGGTATGTGAACACGTTCCCTTTTTACCCTCCCCCCCCCTGTTCAGTCAAACTGACAGCACTAGCAGACAGCAAACCTCCCCACGGCAAGTGTGTTACCTACAGGGAATGTCAAAGATACAGGGAGGTCACTGTTGAGGTTGTGCCTGCACCGCAGTCTGTAGTTTTGGGAGTTTCATGGGCACAGGGTATTAACAAAACTTTTTACATTTACATCCTTTTATCACTTGTGCAGAAATGTACAGACTCAATCCCATAGTACATCCTGCTCTAGTAGTTCAGCAAGCTAGAATGCACCAAACGTGTCTAGCTAATACCTTGGCAAAAAGACCTATTTGCACTCTTCAAATTATAAACATGACAGCAACTGCCCAAAATTAATGACTAATGCAAAATTGTACAAAGTTACTGTAATAAAATTTTCCATTTCAATTTTTTAAATGTAACCACTGAGTTTATTTTTAGTCTTTCATAAGCTTAGAAAAAACCCTGAAGGGTAAGTGAAGTGTCTTTTAAGGAAATGGCATGAGTTTATAGCTCAGGATCTGCAGTATATTCCTCTGGGTTTGCTTCAAGGAAGCATAATATCTTTCCTGTTTTGCAGATAGAAAGCACTGCAAAAATAACAATCACAATTTGTAGTCTTTATGAGAATCCATGACTTACTTACAAAATATTTACAAGGGATTATTTACAAGGGCTAAGTAGCACACTGGTACTATAATGTCTCCACGAACTTAGAGAGTTTGTCTTGTGGGGTAACATCTGCCTCAGAGGTGGCAACCATGACACCCATCTGCTGGTTATTGGCAGGTGGTAAAGGAGGTAACCCTTGGTGAGTCTGATGCCCACTTCCTGGCCCAAGCTGGGAGAGCATCATGGAATCTCCAGGGGCACCACTCCCACCCATGGGTGGGCCTTGTTGACTTCCAGGATGTGGAGAATGTACTGGAGCTGGGTGATGTGGAGAGGGAACAGGTCCCGCCCGCGGGGATGGGATACGGGGAGACGGGATGGGACCATGGTTTCTGGGTGAAGGATTAGGTTGAGGTGACCGCACTGTCTGTGGCAAATTACTTGGTGGGGGTGATGTAACAGTTTGCATCAGTTGCTGTGGGGACGGGTTTGTCATGGCTGACCCAGGAGGCATCATACCTGGGGCAACAGACTGAGGTGACATAGAAGGTGGCACTGGCTTCATTTGTTGTTGTTGCATCAGCATTTGTTGTTGTTGTTGCTGCTGGGGAAAACCTTGCCCAAACTGACCATCCCCACCCTGGAAATTATGCTGCTGTGAAAAGCTCAACTGCCGTCTTTGTGTATACATTGGTGCTTGAGGTTGCTGGAAGCCCCCTGGTTGAGACTGCTGCTGCTGTTGCTGCTGCTGCTGTTGTTGCTGCTGCTGCTGTTGCTGCCTTAACTGCATAAGCTTTTGCTGCTGGTACCATTGCTGCTGATGTGTCATATTGGCTTGAGTTGGTGCAACTCCCATTGTCTGTGGCTGGCCCTGCATGGGTTGGTTTGTGGGCATTTGGGTCACTATACCACCCTGCATAGTTGTCTGCATACCTCCTGGTTGAATGTTGGGTTGCATTCCACCTGGCTGCATGCTGGGCTGCATAGACCCCTGTACAGATCCCTGCATTCCACTTGCACCTTGGGGTATCAAGCCTGGTTGACCTGCTCCCTGTGGGTTTTGTTGTTGCTGTTGTTGCTGCTGCTGCTGTTGCTGCTGTTGCTGTTGTTGCTGCTGCTGTTGCTGTTGACTTTGTTGCTGTAATTGGCGATGTCTGATGAAAGCTGCCATTAACTGAGGATGAGTTTTGAGTATCTGCAGAACCTCAGACTGTTGATGTGGTCCTGAGGGATTCTTCAGTGTTTGTAAAAGCTGCTGTAAGGCTTGTGTTGCATTTCGCTGTGGCTGTCCACCTGGCTGAACTGGCTGACCAGGCTGCCCAGGTTGTCCAGGAGGGCCCATCACAGCTGGGCCTGGAGGTCCTCCTTGCTGGCCCATAGGGTTGGGTTGAGTCATCATCCCTGGTCTGATACCACCACCTTGCCCTTGTTGTTGCTGCCCAATAATACCACCAGGACCTGGATTCGGGTACCTGAAAAAAAAAATTACCATTAATATATATGGAAAATTTTTAGAATGATTCAGCATAACTTTGTTAACAGAAATGTATCTTCATTTTCTATTATTCGGCAGACAACTCCTGTATACTTCATCTGAATTAAGTATTTATGTCTCACGGTGAGACTAATGTGGATTTTTTAAAACCTTAAAAAGAAAGCCAAGAAAATTTAAGTTAAAAGCCTCTGCATTTAAAAGAATAAACACATAAATATACTAACCATACACTGTACACTGGTATACAAATTTTAAATAAATATTACATGAATGGAGCAATAATTGTGGCATACATAATGTTATCAATATGATAAATATCCAAAATATAAAAGAAGGAAGCAAAGACAAACTAGTACATTTTTTTTTTTATCTGCAAACGGTAAGTGGCATACATGACACCAAGTGGTAACTAAGTAACCAACGAAATCGTAATGACACAATTGCAAACAACCCATATCACAGGGGGGGATAGAAACTGCTATCAGAGTCATAAAACTCCAGACCGATGTGCTAGCCACTGGGCCAGCTGGCTAATGCGTTGGTCTGGAGTTTTATGACACTCTAATCGCGGGTTCTATCCTCACCCATGGTACTTCTTTTTTGGTAACTAAGTATTCATTGTGACTTACTCATACATAGTTTCCATTCAACCTTATAAACTGAAGAGTTGATGGTTAAAGTTATACATATAGGCATGACAGCATTACAGTGCTATGAAACTGTTTATTGTATATCAACCAAGTCGCAAGTGTCTCTGTGATGGCAAATATTGGAGGGATTGGTAGACTTAAATTGAATAATATGTAGGACACTAGAACTGTATAAGAAAGGGTAGCATCTAGACTGAAGCATGCTTGGAAAGCTGCTTTGACTTTCATCTAAACACTGAGTGTAAAATTCAAGAAAAAGAGCACATTATAGTAATACAAAAATTTAGCAAAAGAAAAAATAAGCACATTTAATTAAATTTAATTTTACTGAAAAGGGATATGAGTAACTGTGATGCACCCAATGTGAGAGTAGTACAGTAGGACCCCCGTTTCCGTGGATTAGGCACCCGCAGTTTCAGTTATACATGGTTTACTGTGGCCCAAAAATAACTCTTAATTTTGCTTAATAATGGCCCAAAAGCACAATAGTGATGCTGCCAGTTTTTCAAAGTCTAAGAGAAGCTGTGAAAAAGTGCAAATTCTAGACTTATTTTGCTTAATTTATCAATTAAACTATCATAGGTATGTAAGCAAACGAAAAATGACTTATATATAGGGTTCACTACTATCCACGGTAGGTCTTGGAATGCATCCCCTGCAGATATGGGGGAACTACTGTATAAGAATAGAAACTTTTCTTTCAATGAAAAGAAAAGAAAGTCATCTAATGTGTATTTGGAGATTAAATGAACCCACATGGGTATTTGCAAAATACTGACTAGGGAAAAATTTAAGGTGAACAGAATGCTGAAGATAAGTGTGACTGATAAGCTTTGCTTGGAAAGTCAATTCAGCCTTTCACTGTCATGACCCCTGAAATGTAACCTTTCACTGTCGCCCTAAAATATGCTGCGAGTGATAAATTTAAATTTGGACATTAGAGAATCAGTCTGCAGTGAGTGCACAGTATTAAAAAAATCCTGCCCCATGCAGTATGATGGGAAAGGCAAACCTCTGGCCTTATTTTTGGTTTAACCCTTTCAGGGTCAGTGCTGAAGATCTACGGCTTTACGCTGAGGGTCCAAACCATAGATCTACGCCATGAGCTCAGCTCACTCTGATAAGCTGTAAGCTGTAAATTTGGGCCTAGATATGAGAGAATACATCTATGTGATATGTGTCCACCACATAAAACAAATCCTGCAGCACATTGTGTATGAGAGAAAAAGACTGAGAAAGTGATTTTCAATTAAAACAGTGACTCTGCAGTGTTTTTTCGTATGTTTTTTATAGTCGTATTTGCGATTTCTTGGTCTCATTTGATAGAATGGAAGACATATTACAGAAATAGAGACGATTTTGATTGGTTTTAGCACTGGAAATGGCTTGAAACTGAGCTAAAAGTAGCAGAAATGTTAAATTTTTGCCGATGTTCAAGAGTAAACAAATGACCTGACACGTCTAATACACGCCAGCTGGTGGGTCTAATATACATTCACAAATGTGGTGATGATATTTATACAATATTGCATAACAGTAAATCTTCTATTTTTTGGTGTGAATAAGAATTCATTATGTGAATAAAAAATCAAAATGGAATTTATTTGTAAAGCCTCAAAATGTAACTAATGAACAGAGGAAATGTTAGTTTAGTGCCAGGAATACCTACATTGTTTATTCTCGACCCTATTTTGAAATTGGAATATTTTGAACTTTGTGTTAAATTGGCCAAATTAACAATTTCCGATAACTTTATTTTGTAGTTGAAACACTTGACTTGGCGATTTCTTGTGGTCAATCGATAGAATAGAAGTAATACTAGTGAAATAGCTAAGAATTTGGTTGACTGGAATAATGTAACTGGCATAAAATGGAGTCAAAGTCGGCAAAATCGCCGATTCGTAAATATCACTGACACATCAAAATTCGGGAGCATAATTTCGTCAATTTTCCATCAAATTTCGTACTTTTTGTTTTATTACCTTCACAAAAAGATTATCTACCATTTCATAAGAAAAAATAAAAATTTTTTTTTTTTAAATTCTTGGACACTGGGGCACCACTTCAGATTCTGGCCTTGGGCCCTGAAAGGGTTAAGCACTAAGTCTCTCCATTATGTCTGGAAATTCCAGAATTTCAAGTGTTTTTAAATGTTATTTCATATTTTATACATACTCTGATAATTATACTTAGGTATACCTCTACCTAAATAAACTTACATACTGTGCTGGCGTGCAGGTACACATTAACCCGTAAACGGTGCAAACGTATGTATACGTTTTTTCAACATTTGAAAGTATGTAAAAAAAGTAGATCTTCTTTTTGTTTTTTTTACATTTGAATATGTGTAAAAAACTTTGATCTACCTTTTTTTTTTTTTGTTATACAGTGGACCCCCGCATACCGTTGGCATCACATAACGTTAAATCCGCATACCGATACATTTTATCGCTAAGATTTTGCCTTGCATACCGCTAAAATACCCGCTCAGCGCTATTCCTCCGAGACGCGTCTAATGTGCGGCCTGAGCCAGCCTCACATGTTCCGCCGGTGGCATTGTTTACAAGCCAGCCTACGCGGTAACATCCAAGCATACAATCGGAACATTTTGTATTATTACAGCGTTTTTGGTGATTTTATCTGCAAAATAAGTGACCATGGGCCCCAAGAAAGCTTCTAGTGCCAACCCTGTGGTAAAAAGGGTGAGAAATATTATCGAAATACTGTGGTACCATGGTCAACTGCTGCTGCTGTAGCACTGTCAGCTGCTGCTGCTGCTGTAGCACCATCAGCTGCTGCTGCTGTAGCACCATCAGCTGCTGCTGCTGCTGCTGCTGCTGTACCACCGTCAGCTGCTGCTGCTGCTGTAGTACCGTCTGCTGCTGCTGTAGCACCGTCTGCTGCTGCTGTAGCACCATCTGCTGCTGCTGTAGCACTGTCAGCTGCTGCTGCTGCTGCTGTAGCACTGTCAGCTGCTGCTGCTGCTGCTGTAGCACCGTTGTTGGTGTGGCTTATTCAGAATACCAAGAAACAATTAACCCCAGAGGGTTAGCCACCCAGGATAACCCAAAAAAGTCAGTGTCATCGAAGACTAACTTATTTCCATTGGGGTCCTTAATCTTGTCTCCCAGGATGCAACCCACACCAGTCGACTAACACCCAGGTGAACAGGGAAAAATGCCTGGAACTAGTGCTCATATTGGTGAATTTAAAGCCAGCAAAGGTTGGTTTGAGAGATTTAAGAATCATAGTGGCATACACAACGTGATAAGGCCTGTTCTGGAAGAAAATGCCAAACAGGACCTACAGTACTCAGGAGGAAAAGGGACTCCCAGGACACAGTGTCTCATAAGTCATTGCTGCATCTTCAATAAAGGTAAGTGTCATTTATTCTTCATTTAGTAGAGTAGTACATGCACAATATATATTGTGCATGTAGTACTACTCTACTATTGTGCATGTATCCTTCTCTTTGTGTGTAGGAAAATGTATATTTCATGTGGTAAAATTTTTTTTTTCATACTTTTGGGTGTCTTGCACGGATTAATTTGATTTCCATTATTTCTTATGGGGAAAATTCATTCGCATAATGATAATTTCGCATAACAATGAGCTCTCAGGAACGGATTAATATCGTTATGCGGGGGTCCACTGTATTTGAAAATATGTAAAAAAAAAAAAAAAAAAAACGTAGATCTACTTTTGTAGCACTACACGTGAACGTAGATCTGCTTGGACCGTTTACGGGTTAAAATCAGTGTGTCTTATATCTTGAGACGTCATATTAGTAATGATAATAATAATCGCCGAGTCTCATTTAAATGTCGTATATTACGTTAATATACACATTTTCATTAATCCATCTATGATATTTTTTCAAAATTATATAATAAACAGGATGCATAACATACGAAGATGATAAATACACCCCACAGTAGAATAAATAAACATAAATATGAGATGTGGTAGCCAGACGACTTGCACTGACGCCATATTAGAAATAATAATAATAATAATAATCACCAAGTCTCATTAAATGTCGTATATTACGTTAATATACACATTTTTATTAATCTATCCATGATATTTTTTTTTAAATTATATAATAAACACGATACATAAAATATAATGATGAAAAATACACCCCACAATAGAATAAATAAACAAATACGAGATGTCGTAGCCAGATAACTTGTACAAGTGACGGCAAGAATAACATTTTCTAGTCTAACATAAGAGAAAATGTGTTACTGGGGGTAACTGTAGAAAATTATTCCTTTTGTATGTATGTAAGTTTATTCAGGTATACACAAATACAGTTACATAG